AGTGTGGAGCGGCAGTATGTACCACACTCTATCCGAGTGGGAGGTGCCTCTCATTCCTGTCTCCATACTTTTATTTTAATTCAGTCGATTGGAGTGTTACCTCGTCGACTTTTTGGGGACCCCAAACCCCATTGGCTAGTTAATCGAGTCGAGCCGGCAAGGGTTTGGTCGATTGGGTAACGAACCCTGGGTCTTTCGTTTGGTCGAGTGGAGTGATATCTTCTCGACTAATCGGTATACTAGAGTATTACCACCCGTGTTTATTGAGGATTTTGGGCCCAGTAGGGGGTGTGAATGGTGGACGGAGAGTAGTGTAAGTGGTGCTCTACTAGATTGGTTACTTACTTGAAGGTTGACGGAGTGTCAACTATTACTTGATCAAGCTCTGGTGATGCAATGGGAATTTGGCTCCTGAGAGCCATCCGTATCCTTATACTTTGGAGTGATTATTGTTTATTGGATTATTGTTTCTTTTGAAAACTTTTACACACGCTCACTTTGAGATTTGCTACTTGAAGTATTATTGCTCACTTTTATGAACTTTTCATGCTCATTACTTTGTTACATGATACTTTCACTTTTAAATAAGGGTTAACTTGCTATTTGGAACCTTACTGGGCTTTTAGCTCATTCCACGTCATTTGTTTTCCTTGCAGAGGGTACGAGCGAGGCGTGAGACGTACAGGCTAGCGTAGTCTAGTTATTTTGACTTTTGCAATTGTACTCACGCTAGTACCCGACTAGGGTTGATTGTACTCGTATTGTAAACACTTTGAAGTATTTTGGTGTGTAGAAGCTTTGCATCTGGATTTGAGCATCAAAGTATATATATATTAAGTTGAAATGGGTGTGTTATTTATTTTCTAATGATGTGCGTTGTTATTGTTTTTTCTTGAGCTATGAGTGAGTGAGTCCTGGCGAGAGTTGGGCAGGCGGTCCGCCGAACCCTTTGGTTTGCCTTAGGGTGAGGTGGGGCCGTCACATATTATCGTTACAAGAATTTCTTTTAAGTTTCGCTTTATCGCGCGCGAATCGGAAGTTCGCGTATTTCGAGCCAGAACGGTTAAATGGAGATTTAAGAAATTTATTCTAGACTACTAAGAGTGAATAATTATAGTGTTAAAGGAATTACATTTGAAATTTAGTGCACAAGTATAACAACCAAGAGAGAGAACAGTGGTTCGACACCCGCGCGCGACACTATTCCTAATTGACTTTTGAACACCTTTTGGCCACAAATTCCTTAAGCTTCCAAGAGAAGCTTCACAACTCAAAACTCTCTCTCTCCTCACTCCCTAAGCTTGGCTGAACAGCAAGAAAAAGAAAGGAAAGAAAGCTCCAATTCATCTTGCTCATTCTTGCTTCAAATCACTTCTAAATTTGCATCCAACCTCAAAGCCACTTGGAGATTAGCTTGAGCTCGGAGAAAGGCTTCAACTTGCGGTGATTTTTGGAGTTTTTGGTGGTGAAATTTCTGGTTTCATCAAGAACTAAGGAGGTAACCATCAACTCATCTAATCTCTCCATTTAATACAAGATTTATGGTTGGTTGTGCAAGGGTTTGCAACCCTAAGCAAGGATTAGGCTAGCGGACTTGAGGTGTTTGATTTCTTACTTTAAATGTTAGGCTAGCGGTCTTGTGGTGACCTCCAGGTAGCTACCTTGAGGATTAAATGCTTGTTTAATGTTGTTTATGTGTTATATGAGGTGTATATGGTTAGAAAGTGAAGAAAGAATCAAAGGAAAGTGGTGCAAATGCGATGGCCGAAACTATCCGGTGATTTTCGTACCTGCCTTTCAAATTTTTGTGGGCTGTTTTTCTGTGAAATTGGTTGATATATGTTTTATATGGTGTGTAGAAAATTTCTACCAAAAATCATTTGAATTGGTTGAGCAAAACTTGAAATTTCAAAATTTGAAGAAAACTGAAAAATGTGTTCAGGCTGTCCGAGTACCATTTTGATCAAACATATCTCTTTGTACAAAATTCAAAATTGAGTGCCATTTGCGGCATTTGAAACTAGACACTTGTAGCTTTCCAACGGTATAAAATTCACTTTCTATTTCAAAATGAGTGAGCCGTAGTGACTCAGCAAAGTTTGCTGTCCTGTTCTGATAGTCTATCCGAGAGAAAGGTAGAAGCTGCACTTTGTGGCTCTAGTTTCTCTCACTTACGAATTGATTTTGAAAATGACTTGTTCTGATGAAATGTAGAGTTTTGAGTCTAGTTTCCAATGCCATCAACCATTCTCAATTTCAAGTTGTATTGAGTGAGATATGGTTCAATTTACAAACTGTGCCAAAGCTGGAAATCTGGAAAAAACCCTTTCTTCTTGCTAGCCGACCGATTAGGTTTGATTTGGGACGTTTTGTTTCGAAAATTTTGATGTCCATGGCTTTTCAAATACTTATTAAGTGTTCCTAGAACCTTGGTTTCAAAATAGACAGAATTGGAGTTGATTTCATTGGGTAAAATGTTTGAAAAAGGAAAAGAAAGCAAGAAGACAAATTTGCTTTAAGAATTTCCTAAATTTTGGTAGTTTCGTTAACTGTATTTCCGTACGAGTTTTTACGTGAAATTTGATAGAGGAGTAGTCCTCCTATGGAAGTTGAATTGTACCAAATTTGGTGTTATTCTAAGATTATTTTGATACCCAAATGATGTCCCAAAGTTTGCTTTTCAAATCTAGAAATTCACTGTTTAGTAGTGAAAATTTGCTGACTTTGGACTGCTATATTTTGATATTCAAAACTCCGAATTTAGATCTGCTTATTTTGTTTGAAACTTTGTATGGAACTCTTATTTTGTTACAAATTTTAGAGGCTAGTTCACTTTCTGTGAATTTTGCCAAATTTCCAAAGTTTGCCGAAAAACATGACCGAAACTGTCTTGTATGCTCAAATCAACCACTTTGACCTGAAATTTGAATGTCTTCTGTTTAGAATCTTGGAAAAATGTCTTCTAAGAACTTTTAGAACTTTGAACCTAGTTTCCAACGGTACAAATTTTTCCAATTTTGGACTTACTCAGTGCAAGTTTTGATTTTTCTAAATTTCATGTGCAAAACTAAAATTTTCCGACTTGATGGGAAATGAGTTTTTGGGAACTCTTCCCTATCCTTTGATATTGATTGACCATTTTAAACTTGATTTCATGGAGGAAATTAGTTTTTCTTGTGTTATTAAACACGACTTTTGAGTCTCGATTTTCGAGTAGTTAAGGCTCTCTTTCATAACATTTTCTTAGTATTGTACAAATGTACAATCTTCCTTGTTAGCAAGGGGTTTGTAAGTAATAGTGTGTGATAGTCAATTATTATTTGCTCAGGCGCTCAAGGGGACCTTGAAGAGGATCTCGAAGTGGACGCCTAAAAGCTTGTTTGAGCACTTACTCATCTATTTTGATTGGTGAGTGTCAAGTGCATGAATTTGTTGCTAAGTGCTTGACTTGCTTCTTATCCGTTATGTGAATTTGGAATTTTAGAGATGAGTGTGTACTTTACCGCACTCGTTCTCTTTCAAATGAAATTATATTCGAATTTTTGCTATGTGAATCCATATTCGCCTTGTGCGAAGTGATGTGGATGTGATTTGTATTTGTGATTTCTATTTGGAATCATCGATTGGAACGCTGCTCATTGACTTATATTCATATTTGTATTCATATTCGTATTCGGGGGACGCCCAAACTTGTTGGCTAACTTTACGAATCGAGCCAGCAAGGGTTTGGTCGATAAGCTTAGCAAACCATGAGATATTCGTAAAGCATGATCTATTGGAGAGATCTTGCTTGACATACTCACGTAGTATTGCCATGATATACTCGAGTAATATCAAAACTTTGATGAGCGGGCCCGGTAAGGGGTGTAAGGGTGACGGGATTCGAAGAAAGTGGTGTATCTACAGGATTTGATACTATGTGATTAACGGAGTGTCAACATGGAATTTGATCAAGACCTTGACTCGATTACGTGGAATTTAGCTCTTGAGAGCTACAGTATCCTTGAATTATTTTTGTTTACTTTTCCTATTTGAAATGTTAAATACTCGAACTTTACAGTTTTACTTATTATTTAAATGTGGTTGCTACTTGGACTATGTGCTTGCATGTGTGTTTCTTAGCCTCACGAGCATTCGCTCACCCGATTAGATTTGTTTTCCTTAACAGGACCGGATGAGAAGATTTTTGGAGAAAAGCCGACTAGATTACTCTTTTGATTAGTACCTTGGTTGTAATTGTTTGGTCGATTATAATGGTTGTATTTTGGGATTTGATGTATCTTTTGAGAACTCATGATGTAAGATTTGAACGTTTACCTAAGGAAGTTACTTCGATGTACTTCGGCCTTTATTATTAGTTGTTATCCTTTAAGTGCGAATTGGAATTGTATCGAGTCCTGGTGAGAGTTGGGCAGGCATTCCGCGGATACATAACTGCTTTGTGTTTTCCCTTGCTTATCGTGATTTCAACTTCATTTTTCTTTGACTTTCGATTGTGAATAAGTATTTATTGTATATCCAAAACTTGCTTACCTATTAGTTATAATATTTGAACCCTAGCCCAGTGAGTGATAACGGAAGGTAAACGACAACGTGGACGGGGCCATGGGCGTGGACCCGGACAAACCCAGGACCAAGAGAAAGAACAAGGATCTGTAGCAAACCAGAACCAGGGACCCAGAGATGAAGGAAGGGACCAGGTAGCTACACCTATCAATCGTATGACTGATTTATTGGCCCCTTTGGTTGACTAGTAAGGTCAAACACCTGGTAACTAGCAAAGGGACCCTAAAGTAGGTGAAGATAGGGCCCTGGAATGGTTCCAAAAATTCGCTCCTCCCAAGTTTCTTGAAGGACCAGATTTTGAAGTTGCCGAGAACTGGTTTGAAAGAATGGAAGATATTTTTGCTGCGTTACACTATACCGAGGAGAGACAAGTGACTTTTGCTATTTTTCAGTTAGAAGGTGCGGCCCGTTCCTGGTGGAACGTAGTAAGGGCAATGTGGATCAGGGAGCAAACACCACGTACTTGGTTAAACTTCACTAGAAAGTTTAATGAGAAGTTCCTCCTACCCTTAATCCAAGAGAAAAGAGAGGATGAATATATCAAACTGTACCAAGTCACTTTGAGTGTGGAGGAATATGAAACCCAATTTACCCGACTCTCTAAATTTGCTCCGAAATTGGTAGTTAATGAGCAAAAGCGCATAAGGTGGTTTGTACAAGGTTTGAATGTGGAGATTCAAAAGGACTTAGCTACTGCTCAAATCGATACATTTAAAGATGCTCTTGAAAATGGTCAACGAGTGGAGCAGACCCGATTCCAAGTTCGGACCTTTCAAGCCAAGAGACGTGGAGCATCTAGTAATACTACCGGGCGAGTTGATCAGAATGTACCGCATCCTAAGTTTGGAAGAGGTACGGGTGGAGTTCGTATCTCAGGGACACCGAGAGGAGCTCCATCCAGAGGGGCTCACAACGGGAGAGGCCAACAGAGGACTATTTTCCAAGGAGGTCCGACACCCGCTACTCGAGTAAGTTGTGGATATTGTGGTAAGACAAACCACACTGAAGATGCTTGTTGGCGTAAAATGAGGAAATGTTTCCGTTGCGGAAGTTTCGATCATCAGATCGCCACTTATCCTGCTAAAAACCGTGAGGAAAATGAGGGTGTGCTGCCAGAGAAGTCAAACTCTAAACAACCAACTGCTAATGGGAGTAGACCGACAGCCTCTGCTAGGGTTTTTGCCTTGGACTATCAGCGAGCCCCTGAGTCCTCTGAAGTAGTAGAAGGTACGATCCCTGTATTCCACTGCTTAACTAAGTTTTTAATTGACCCTGGGGTAACCCATTTTTTCATAAATCCTGCCTTTATGTGTGGTATTGCTGTGAATCCTGTTAAATTTCCCTATGACTTGGAAGTTAGAACACCTACTGGGGATCAAAACCTAATTACCAATATGGTTTATAAAAATTGTGAGATTTGGGTAGAAAAACGGAAGTTGGTGGGAGATTTGATAAGTTTAGACCTCAAGGGGTACGACGTAATTATAGGAATGGATTGGTTGGCTCAATACAATGCTCAGTTGAGCTGCAAGACTAAGGTGGTGGAGTTCTCTAAACCCGGAGAGGCAACCCTAAGATTGGATGTGAGGGGTAGATTAGCCTCGTCTGCACTTGTTTCAAGAATTCGAGTCAGAAAATTATTGAATAAAGGGCATAGGGTTTCTTAGCTTTCTTGATTAACACTCCTAGAGGTAAGATGAAACTGGAGGATGTGTTAGTAGTAAATGAATTTCCCGATATTTTTCCTGACGAGCTGAAGTCGATGCCGCCAGAGAGAGAAATAGAATTTAAGATCGAGTTGGTGCCTAGAACCGCTCCTATTGCAAAAACACCATACTGAATGGCCCATGCCGAACTTAAGGAACTAAAATTGCAATTACAGGACTTGTTAGAATGAGGGTTTATTCGAGTAAGTGAATCACCTTGGGGGGCACCTATTCTATTTGTTAAGAAAAAAGATGGTAGTTTGAAACTCTGTATAGATTATCGCGGCTTAAATGATGTTACAGTGAAAAATAAATATTTTTTGCCGCACATTGACGAGTTGTTTGACCAGTTGCAAGGAGCAATAGTTTTCTCTAAGTTGGACTTGAGGCAAGGTTATTATCAGCTACGAATTAAGTAGGAGGATATGCCGAAAACTGCTTTTAATTTCAGATATGGACATTTTGAGTTTACAATGATGCCTTTTGGTTTAACAAATGCTCCGGCTGCCTTTATGGATTTGATGCATCGAGTGTTTAAACCTTATTTCGACCAATTTGTCGTGGTGTTCATAGATGATATTTTGGTGTATTCTAAGACTCGAGAGGATCACGAACGACATTTGAGGATAGTTTTGCAGACTTTAAGAGAGCATCAGTTATATGCCAAGTTTAGCAAGTGTGAGTTTTGGTTGGAGCAAATCTCGTTTCTAGGGCATGTGATATCTAAGATGGCATTTCTGTGGATCCAGTGAAAGTAAAAGCCGTATCTGAGTGGAAATAGCCAGAAACTCCAACTGAGGTTCGTAGTTTCCTAGGTTTAGTTGGGTATTACCGTCGGATGATCAAAGATTTCTCCAAATTTGTGAGAACCCGTAAATTCCTCTTAATAATTTTCCTAGGGTTTATCCCCTTTAATGGCATGTTTTTTTTGCATTTTCTGGCTTAGGAAAATTCTCCTGGTAAATTTTATGAGTAATTATAGTTTTTAGATGTTTTTTCTAGTATTGGAGAGTTTTTGAAAAATTAAGGATATATAAAGGACGTGGGACCCACTAGTGCGATAAGTTCGGAAAAAATTCGGCCAGTTAGGTTAATTTTCGGATACTGGTTGAGATTTATCGGGTGTTAAGAGATAAGTAGAGGATGTGAGAGGAAAAGAAAGGGATAGGAATGCACTTAATGAAGTGACAAGTGTCACTCTTCCATTGGTTGGACTTGTAGACAACTATTCATGGTTTTGACCTTTTTGACTAATTGGTTAAATATCTCCAAAAAAATCACTAAAATTCACTCTTTTCTTCTCCTCCATGGCCGGTTCTCTCTTGAGCAAAGAAGAAAGAAACTCTTCAACATTTTAGCTTCCATTTAGCTCAATCTTCCAAAACCAATCACATAAACTAGTTTGTACTCCATAAAATCCCTCCCTTTGGTGCTAGTAAGTGTTTTTGTGGAAGTGTTCAAGGAAGCTAAGGTGTTCTACAACTCCTTTTCTCTTGTTTACTAGGTAAGTGGTGCTTGAACTTCCTCCTACACCTAATGATGCTTAATTTGTGCCTAGTGGTGGCTAAAGTGTTGAAATTTGTGGTTTATTTCTTGTTTTTGGATGATTTGATGAAGTTTTCAATTTAATGGTGATTTTTCTGGTTCAATGTGATCCTGATGTTGTGGCCTTATATGATGATTGGCAATAGCCTATAATGACTCTAGTAGGTGTGAATGATAGGTAATTGCAATCAATTTCTGTTTTGGAAGAAATCTGGAAAATTAGGGTTCTTTGGTTCTTCATTCTGTCCGAAATTTTAGGTCCTAGATAGAGGCCGAATTGGCCTTAGATCAAAACATTAAAGTTGTAGGGAATGACATTTTATAGGTGCCTACAAAATTTCAGGTCAATCGGAGTAGTGTAGAATGAGATAAGTCGAAATTACTATTGCTGTTCTGGTTTTACCCGAAATTGGGATTTGCGACTGTAATTGGTTGTTTTGGTCTGGAATTCTTCCGAATTGGTTGTTGAGGCCTTCTTATGGAATTTATCCCTGTTTCTTAGCTTTCAACTGGTTTTGTAATTTCTGGATTTGGACTTGTAGAGCCTGAGTTATGATATTTCCGCTAGAATACGTTTTGGTGAATCTGTTTTACGTTTTGATGTAGTATCTTGCATTTTTGACCTGTTTGCACTCAAAACTGGGTTGAGAGACCTTCTGTGATGTTGTATCCCTGTCTTTTAGATTCGAAATGGTGGGTCTTACACCTTCATCCGATAATCATAGGGCATTTGGTACCATTACCGCAAAAAGAAGTCAAAAATTGTTTTTCAGGGCCGAAGTTAATTGCATTTCCGAATTTTCTGGTTTTCTCTAATGATTGTATATGCTTATGGAACCCTATTGGGGTCATATTTGGCATTGATTTATGATTAGTTATCGAGTCTCATTGTACTTGTTTACATGTTTTAAGGCTTACTCTTATTCCGGTCATTTCCTAGCTAACTTTTGTACTTGTACTACTTTGAGCCTAGTGAACGGCTTTTGGGAAATGAGATGAATTTTGTGTGAGATGTTGGGACTGATTTGAGGAAATAATGAAGCCATGATGGCTGAAAAATAGGTAAAAACAAGGGATATGCTGCCGAAATTTTACTTGAAGGCTAGTTGGATTTACTTGTGATTTGAGCAAAGGGCTTTTGGGTTGTTTGCGCCTAGGTCTCCATGTTACCTTTTCGTTTCCAAGAAAATCATGTTTTCCACCCTTGCATTAGTATTTATTTGGCAAGGCGTACGACGTGTAGTCGAGCCTCACTTGTGCATTCCGTTTACTCGATTTTGGATATGAAACCTTCAATTAGTTTACTTTGATTATTTTAGGGTTTCTTGGCGATTAAGGCCAATCTGAAGTGAAAACTTTTGAAGTTGAGCCGGTGAGTGTACCACTCCCCTCCATTGCTGTTTAACTTGATTTCTGCTCTGCAATCTGTTTAATTTGTTTGAGACGAGGGTGTACTTTATCACACTCGTTCTCTTGTCTGTTCATATGCCAATTTACTATGCAAAATTTGAATCTGTTATCTGTGTCTGCATCTGTTCGGATTTCTGTGACCTATGAGCTCAATCCTGTGGCTAAGTTATTCGAGTCGGGCCGGCAAGGGCTTGGACGATTAGATAACGAACCACGGTAGTCTATTTTGGGATCTTTGGGTATTGAGACCCTTGATTCCGGTATACTCGAGTATTACCATTTTGTTCGTTTGAGGTGAGCGGGCCCGGTAAAGGGGTGTTTGGTGGACGGAATTCGGTGCGAAGTGGGTCTACGGACGCATTGGTTCTATATACGTTGACGGAGAGTCAACCCGTTTGGATCAAGTACTGCGCTGGAATTTGGCTCCTGAGAGCCACCTGTATCCTTCCTATGTGAATCATTAGTTGCTTTACATTACATCTGGCATGTGTATCTGATTTGTTAACTATGAAATGCCATGATTTTTCTGCAATATGTTTGGTACCTCATTGAGCGCAAGCTCACCCCTTTCTGTTTCTTTTGTTTTCCTTACAGGAAAATAAACCCTTTTGGTCTGGATTTGACAAATGGCTGCCAAATTGAGCTAGTTGAACATATCTTTTGTATAGCTCATGTAGTAAAACCCTAAGTGTACTTTTGGGGCGTTTTCTCTTTTGATTTCGCAAACCGTGTATATGTATTAACTTTTGAAAACTTTTGTATGTCATTTTGGATTGTAATCGCTAAAGTTCAGATGTGAATGTTTGCGTGCTCTTTCGGTTGGGTTCTGACGGGTCGGTTACTATTATGGCCGACTCCGGATTTCATTTTCTTAGTTTGGGTTATGTTGCCATTTTGACTTGGTTGCGCGCATTGGTAAGTTCCGAAACGTATTAGATTGACGTAAACGGATCCGTAGTCCTGGCGAGAGCTGGGCAGGCAGTCCGCTAACCCCTTTGGTTCGCCTTAGGGGAAAGTGGGGCTGTTACAAAATTAGCAAGGCCTTTAACCGACTTGACGAAAAAGTATGGTCAATTTGTCTAGGATTCGAAGTGTGAAACTAGTTTCCGAAAATTAAAGAAACGGTTAACTTCGGCGCCGGTCTTAGCCTTACCAAATGAAAAAGACAGTTTCTCTGTATATACTAACGCCTCAAGAGAAGGATTGGAATGTGTTCTAACGTAAAATAGAAATGTGATTGCCTATGCCTCCAGGAAATTAAAACCCCATGAGCGAAATTACCCGACTCATGATTTGGAGTTAGCCGCTGTAGTTTTTGCCCTAAAGAAGTGGAGATATTACTTATATGGGGTGACTTTTGAGGTGTATACCGACCATAAGAGGTTGAAATATCTATTTTCTCAGAAGGAGCTAAACTTGAGATAGCGACGGTGGGTGGAATTTCGTAAGGATTATGACTGTACAATTAACGACCACCCGGGGAAGGCCAACGTCGTAGCGGATACTTTAAGTCGAAAAGTTCAAGTAGTTGGATTAATGGTCAAGGAGTGACATTTATTGAAAAAAGTGAATGAATGGAATCCACGGTTGGAGCGACAGAAAGTGATTTTAGGCAATATCACGGTGACATCTGATTTGTTGGGCCGAATTAAAAAAGCACAGAAGAATGACCAGATTGTGCAAAAATAGGTAGAAAAAGTGCAAAAAGGGAAAATTTCAGACTTTAATGTGAGTTCCGAGGGTATCTTGAAGTTTCGTGATCGGATAGTGGTACCGCAAGATGAAATAATAAAAAGGGACATTTCGGAGGAGGCACATCGATCTAAGTAAACAATACATCCCGGAAGCAGTAAAATGTACCAGGATTTGAGGAGACTATATTGGTGGGATAAAATGAAGAAAGAAATTGCTCAGTTTGTCCAAAAGTGTTTAGTGTGTCAACAAGTGAAAGCTGAACATCAGAAACCCTCAGGTCTTCTACAAACTCTTGAAATCTCTGAGTGAAA